GGATTAAGAGCACATAACTTTTTTTAGTAAAATTAAGAGCACATAATTAAATTAACCTATCCATTGCTCAACTATGTTTTTAAGTTTGAGAAATTTACCTTTTATTATGCAACACAATATAATTTAAAGAAATAAAAAAAAAAAACCTTACTCTCTCTCTTTAATTGCAAGGAAAAGGATGAGCATTTTTCTTCCAACTCATCTTTCTCCACCAAGAACACTTGCAAGACAAATATCATCAATGCTAGGCTAAAATTTTGTAAGAGTTTCTTGTTTTGTAGTCTAAATTGTATCAAACTGCAAAATCAAGTCCCTTAGATGGGAGAGGAAAGTCCAATATTAGGGGATCTTTGCCAATCCAAAGGTCATTGTTTTGTAACCTAGTATAATTCGAACTACAAAACAATTTTTCGATTTTGTAATATAAACAGGATATTTTTAATCTCAACCTTGGATCCCTATCTTCCAAGACATGGCAAAATTCTTCCTGACCAGAATGCTCAAACCTTGGACCTCTATCATCAAGGTCTTTTGGGCATCTCTTTTATCTTCAAGCTTGTCGACATGCTGCTGTTTCAACGAGTTGAACTCTATATTTGAAGCACCAATTATAGCCATTGGAATTCCATCAATCTCAAGGGAAGATGCATCTCCATTTCTGCCCAATCCCAACACAGGTTACCCTCTCAATAATCCAACCCTTGTTTATAGCAAATTTGCCCTCCTGAACTTTAGGACCAGGCCTTCACAGTTCCTTCTTTGACATTTGCATAGAAATTGACATATGTTGAGTAACCATTTCCAAGTTTCATTTCTAGAAGCTCATCATTGTTAAGATAGAGACACCCTTTAGCTTGTCCTTCACTGACTCCAGTTGGGAAAGTTACAATGAGAGTTGAGATTGAATGGTGTCATTCTAGCTTCTTTAGAGATTATTCCACCCTACTGCATTGGCAATATGGTACTTTGATACAAGTGTGTATTGACAACATTCAATGGTGCATTGAGTGTAAAGTACTACCCTTTTAACACAATGGTCTGTGTCATATCAAATAAACTGTACCAAGAACCATGAGGAAAGAGTGCTTTAACTCTTGTCTACCCCTGTTCAAGTACTGGAGACGCCATAAGATCACTTCCTAGCAAGAATTGTGTGCTTAGACTATAGCACATGGTATGAGTAGGGAATGAGAAAAAAAGTGGCTAGGCAATTAAAGCACCACAAGTATGTGCCTCGTTGTTTAGTGTGTAGAGGTAAAGAAGGATTTCGTACCTCATACCAAGGGTATTTTCGAGCAAATTTGGGTAGTGCTTCCCATTGATAAAGCTCTTGCCTTGGTGAGTTGTAATTTGCTTGATCCCTTAAAAAGGGTTAGAAAGAACCCACTTCAATCCATCGGTTGCAGAGCTTCAACGTTAAAGCATGACAAAATCCACATATATCTGAACTAACCATCAAAATACTAAATATGCCAAAATTCAGCATGGTAAACATTGAATACCTTAGATCTTCCCAAGTGCCCTTATTATCACGAGTCTAGTGAGCTGCATATTTTCCCAAACCAACATTATTGGAGTGTTAGTATGAATGGATGTTTGACCTCAAGCCCTTGAAGTGCTTTGTAAGTAGCAATGGCTTGAGAAAATCCATAAATACTACGAGCATCATACTTTTTAACTCAATTGTAGTGAACTACACTAGTGGCAATGGTTTTGAACCCTATTGGCACTTGCAATCCTAAAGCATTTATCTTGTATGGTGGATCATCCCATCTTGTGTTTGTGATGCTCTTGCAATCCAAGCAACAAATTGAGCCAGGTCCTTCCCCACTTGGACACTGCTTGCCTTTTGGGATTATGCAATTCTTGGAACAGAAATTTGAAGCTTTGTTCATGTCAATCCATAGGCCATTAACAGGAACAAGTTCATGAAAGCAGCGAATCTCATAACCCCACCATGCAACGTTTTTTGGATTGAGGAAGTCAGGAAAATTAGTAGACCCAGCTAAACTTGAGCTAAGTAAGGCTCACCCTCATATTTGATGAAAACATCATTGGCAATACCTCTTTGATAAACACCATAGCTAGAATTGACAACAATTCCAGGATCAATAAGCGTACTGCACTTCATGCCTATGCCATTTATTTTGTCTAGGAAAGCCAGAAGCTTTGGACGAGGGTAGTTGGTGGGGTTGAGGGTAAAGTCCTTATGACCATCCATGTGATCATCATCATTCTAGATCACATCAAGAGGGATTTTAGCTTTTTTGTAGTTCTAAACAACATCTTCTACCACTGATAGGTTATGGTAGCCCCATCTACATCGGTGGAAGCTTGTGCCATCGAATTAAAAAAAACAATTAAAACAAATACTGATATTAAAATGAATAGTATTAAAAACTGAATGGAATTATGCATTACTATGGCAAGTGCAAGATTAGGAAGTATGGGGATCCATTGCCCATCCCACCACTCATCAAGTAGGAATTAAAAACTTGGTTTTGATTAAAGCTTGAAGTAATATTTCCACTTTTTCCCAAAAAGAAGGATGGCTAACTTAATAAAAACAAATCTGACTTGCTAAATCTAAACTGCAGCACAGATTGTTCATCATTTGTATAAAAAAAAGCAGTAAAATACGGTGTATTTTTTTTCCTGAAATTTTTCATTGAACAAGGGTCAAAGACAAAAAAAGAGTATTTCATTATATTAACAAATCCCTCTGATCATTAGCTTTATATTAGCCTAAGTTCCTAATTAAGACAACTATAGGAATGCCATTTTCTAGAAATGAGCAAACAATATATCACCATTACCCAAGTTCAAAGGATCATGATTATAGAACCAAATTTAACCATTTACTACGGTAACATGTCAGCTTCTGTCATGACATTTCCCTGTTCTAGCAGGCACACATGGCAGACAGAAGCAACCAGTGTGCTTTGTGCTGCATGCATTAATATTGGTCATAAGTCATTCATTGCCCAAACAGTTGAACAAAAGTACATAACAATCTCACAGATCTGAGATCCCTTAGAAGTCAAGTCTTTTTCTTTAAAAAAAAAAAAAAAGAATTGCAAAATTACCGGAGTCCATTTTCTCTACATTGTGTGGTAAAAGGGTCTGAAATACTCATGCTTTCCTACAGATTTTACCCACTACCTAATTAAGGGAAATTTCACAAAAAAATTTGGCCAATATGTACAATTTCTCACAATTTCACCAAGATCTAGTACTTGCATCAAGTAAATGCATATGGTCCTACAAAGCAATTATCACAACATCATGACAAAGTTGTAAGTTTGGTCATTCTATTTCCACCCCATGTAGGGTAGATGTTAGGACAATATTCCATTAATTTTTTTCCTTTATCAGCTAGGTAATAGGTATTACATGCAAAGACGGGAATTTATTGACTTCCTGCAGGTTCTTTTGTTTTTGGAAGGCACTTCCTGCAGGTTCTAATGTCCCACAAGTTGCTTTTTACAAAATGTATCAATAGTGCAAGTTGTTTAGCCGATAAAGTTGAACTTCCATCTCTACAAAAGATTAAGAGCCTTGAAAATGTCTTACAGGGCTACAATGATTATCTTCTATATGCTAAAATACAAAAAGATATTATAAAAGAAAAAAAAAATTTGTCCAAATTAAAAGTTGCTGCTTTGCAATGACTAGAGACTGCATTGATAGATGAGAAACTTTATACACAGCTATAATTAAGAAACAGATAATGCAAGACCAACTCACCAACCTACCTTAAAAAAAAGCATAAAACATTCGCTAATTGAGAATGTGAATGCTGAAACAGGGATACACAGCTTACGGCTGATTATGGGATAACACAAGGAGTCAACATTTCCTGCCAATCTAAATTAAATCAAGTCGCCCTGATTTCCCCATCCTACACATCCCTTGTCGACACATTAACTTGTACCATATGATTAATTAACTTTCCAACTATGACTTATGTAGCACATAGATGACATTATCTAATGCATTGCACACATAATTAAACAAAATCTCACTTTTAAACTGAAATTAGCAGTCACATATAATTAATTATTCAATTCCAAGAGATTTGACTTCTGTATTTTGCCTACTCAAACATGATTAACGATTGTTATGTTGTTTTTTATTCCATCAATTTCCATAGAATCGCTTTAGTAATAAATTAAAACCAACATAATAATACCAACATACACATAACTAAAGTCATGGGCTTAATTGTCCATTTAGAAGGATCATCGTTTCACTGAAAAGGGACAAATTCATTTATTTAGCCTAAAACCTAAATTCCACTCACCAACATTGGGGCTGAGGATATAATGTACCAATAAAAAAGATGCGCAGTTGGGGTTGCAGCACATTAACAATTTAACTATTAAATAAGAAAAAGTATATTTTTTAATATTAAAAATCATTTATATCATTTAATTATTATTATTTTATAATATAATACAGTTAAAAGATAAATAAGTGCACCTGATTCTTCGAATCAACTAACAACCTACCAGTTTGAAATGCATTTTCCTTCTTTCATGGGCGGACTTTGAGTCAATTCCTTAACAACTTGTTCAAAAATAAATAAATAAATAACTCAATCCTTAACTTTTGCTTTAAAAAAAAAAAAGAAAAGAAAAAAGAAAAGCAGAAAGAAAGAAAGGAATTAGAACTGAAAAGTTAATCATCCTAGAGCCCAGTAGGGCGTGGGCGCCCGTCTGCCGATGAAGGTTGTGTACCGATCAACAACGCCGAGGGGGTGTTGGTCCTGCAAGAAATTAAAAGTCGAAAACACCCTGAATCACCTTATATGTCGATGAGGTTCCGCTGTAGAACACATCGATGCACCATGCCATTGGTGTTCAACAACAGAACAGCGTGGGCGTACGCCTCGCAGCGACATTCCTCAGGTCCATGTACACCGGAAGGACCAGTACAAATCGGTGTTGAGGTTAATTAATGACGGACATATCATTGGTGCACAATGTGTAATACAGCCTGATTCCGTGCAGTTGCGTGTTCTCTCCGGAGGCCGTAGAGCGAGGTGTCTTTGGGCAATTTGGTGGAAATTTCAAGTTACTGGTCGTTGAATACCATTTCACCAAACGGGTCGGATGATCGGCGGCGGATTGAAAAGAAGCTGCCCGTTTGACTTCCTTCTCACCGCAAACCCAAATGAGCTCGGGACCGGGCAGCACTAAGAGTCTAAGACTGTCATCGGGTTCTTCTCTTGATCTCGCGATGGCTTGCTTCAATAGGGGCGGCCGCTCCCTCGGTAAGAGATTGCAGGGGACCACCCATCTCTGCTAATCGGCATCCGTTGTGTTGACCCTCAATCGATCATCCGTCTCGTGCTTGCAAAAAATGGGAAAGCAAATTTGATCAAAACCCATTTCAATTTTCAGAATGAAGTCTATTACAGACGTACATGGTTCTACTCACTTGACGAAGAGCCTCAGATGAGAAATATCAGGGCCGTAGACATTGTTCTTCTGCTTGATTTGAAGGTAGTCCGCAAAGCCATCGTCAGGGGTCTCTTCGACGGAAATCAGACGGTAGCCTTTGCCAATCTTGGCCTGTATCGAGGAGGCTAATGCCCTCCGGCAACGCATTGTATGAAAAGAGAGGATAGATACAAAGAAAGCAACGGAACGGAAGAAAACATCTCTAACTAACTCCGGAAGCAACTGTGACCCAGTGAGACTGCTTGCTCATATATAATATTTAAAAGGAGGAAGCCAGAAAGGGGATGCTGCCATGGTGGTATGGCCTATAAGACATGGTCGTTGACGGTGATGATCAAATTCTAGCGTGGGGGGGTCCCTACCGTATGCATGATTTTAATCGGGGTAAACATGGATCATTGATATGAATACCTTGTGAGGCATTATTTTTCTGATCTAAAAACTGAGTTGGGTAATCAAATTCTTATAGATCCCACATTGAATATGTAATAAAAAAAATTATTTCATTTATTGTTAAGTTGGATTGCAAGTTTCATTTTCACAGGTGTATAAAAGTCTTTATATACAATTTTCACAAATAAGAATAAAATAAAGTATTTTATTTTATTATTTTAAATTTATTTACTTATCTAAATAAAGAAAATAAAATAATACAATTCTTTTCCTTCTTCCATTCATCTCAATCTAAATATACTTAAAAGCATAGAATCTGCTTAATCTGAATTTTTGTAATGTAAGTTATCCCGAAAATGTGCATTGTGCAGGCTGGAACGGACCAAAGCCGAGGAAAATGGTTTATGGCGACCCAAGTTAAAAAGCCCAGCTGAATGATATTCAAGAAGTTAGGAGGCCCAGCAGCTACCTGCTCAAGGGCTGATTCACTGAGACCGGATCCCGGGCCTACTAACACACAGTGGAGACGTCCTTGAAAGCACTAGTGGCACACTGTAAACAGGTAAGAGAAAAGCACCCATATTGGTGTTCTAACTTCTAAGTCCGGTTTTGAAAATATCTAGGTGCATTTAATGAACCCTATTATTTTATATAGGGTTTACTTAATATGAATCTTAAAAATACATATTAAATATATAATAAATATATTATTTATAATTAATTTATATTAAAAATTATAAATTAATATTTATTTTAATATTACTATAACATAGATAATTTTAATTAATTAATTAATTAAATTAAAATTAATATTTATATTTTAAATAAAAATTTATTATAAAAAATACATTTATTGTACCATAATTATGTATCTTTTATATATTTAGAATATAAATTAATAATATAATAAATATGTTTTTAAAAAATTATATTAAAAAATGTATTGTTAATTTATTAATTATTTAATTAAATTTATTTACTTAATATTAACATTAAAATTAAAATTAATTTTTATATTTTTATACTCAAGTTATGAAAATCTTATTATAAAAGTAGAAAATTTATCTATTTTTATAATAAAAATATCTTTAAAACACGTATTAAAATTTTTTTTAAATGTTTTCACAACTGTAACTTCTTGTTGAAGTTTAGACTGAAAAAGAAAAGATCATTTATTAAAATTTTAAGGTAAAATGATAAAGGGAAGGACAATGATTGGGAAGTGTGGGAAAAAAAATAATTAATACTAAATCCCTGTTAGGAGAATATATATATCTATATATATTTTATGTTGATTGTATAACAGAAAATAATTTTTTTTAATTTTTTATCTCATTTTATTTATATATTGTGCAATTTGAATTTAAAATTTTTTACTTTCAATGAATTAAAATTACAACTGAATTAATTAAGTCATTGATTTTGTTAAGAGAATATTAATTTAATGTTAATCCTTAACTTAATACTAAACCCCTGTTAAGAGAAAAACAAATCAAAGTCATTAAAATCGTGGGACCCACCAGCTATTGTTGGGCACGAGCTGCCGTCCCACAGTTTCCTTTCGTTTTTCCGTCTTGAGAATTACTACTCTATTTTAAGCGCAGAAAGCATCAATAATGGAAACCCTATACTAGGACTAAAGTAGTGGATTACTTTATACCCCTAATTTATTCCCAATGTAAACTATGAGCCCACTTTATTTGATTTTTATTTATTTGATTTGTTTTTTTAAGTAAGCATCACAGCTTTATATCTCATTTTAGTATAAGAATGCCTAAAAAAATAATAAATCATAGGTATAAAGTTAGCAAGTTTGATTCGAATCCTTTAATCCTTTTTTAATCAATACATGTCCCCTTAGTGCCGACTTTTGACCCACAAGATTTATCTTTTTGTATAATTAGCTGCCTAATGTTTTTATTCTTTCTGAACAATTACAAATTTTGAGAATGGGGGAAGGGGGGGATCAACCCCAGTATCACAGCCATAGGCCGCAGGAAAAATGTTCTTACGCTAATTGGTCTGAAAGAAGAGGGGCTAATTAGCAGCCTAGCCGTACAAACAAAAGTTAGAAAACAGCATGAAAGATGAGGGAACCAAAGTTTTTTTTTTTTGTATTAATTTCTCAATATTTAGTAATTACATTAAGTTTTGGTTAATTTAAAATTGAATTGTATCTAATCCCATTGAAAAAGAAGTTTTTTTGTTTCTCTATTCGTAAGATTTGAATTCAAAATTTTATTTTAAAAAAATTAAGTTTTTTCCACTCAAAATAATAAGTTATTGGTCCAAAGTTTTCTCTTTTTTATAAAAACAAATCAACTTATTAAAATTCTCATAAACAAAAAGTGAAAAAGAAGAATAATTCCCTCACCTCCTCCAGGACAACGATTCGAATTCGAACCATTGTGAATTTGTTCAAAAAAAGAAGAAGAATAATTACCATGTGAATAAATAATTATTTTATATTAATAATTTAATCAATTATTATATAAATCTTTCTAAACGAAAGATTAGGCCTCGAAATATAGTCTGTCCTTTCCAATTATGTCAAGATTTTTTCAATCTCAATCAAGAAAAAAAAATGATTTTAGTCTAATCCTACATTGTAACGAAAGCCAAGGTTGAGAATACAAGGAGATAAATTTCACCGAACCGACAAAGTTGAAGGTGAAGACACACCTAATTTAATTTCCGTTTAGATTCGGGAACCTTACAAGGACAAGCCTGGGTCTGTATAGATTTGTCTGGTCCATATGGTGGGCACTAGAAGCAAAGACATGTTTGATGGAACATACATACATATATACACGGTACAAATGTGTGATATGTCAAAAGTCGTGGCATGTTTATCTATTGGGGGCTTATCTTCTTTTTATTATTGATTTGATTTGTAGGGTTAGTGGTGGGTGGTGTGGTATGTGTCATGTGGGAATTGATTGGGGTTAGGCCATCTGCCTTTCTTATTAGTTTCACATTTATTATTTGTCACGGGATTTTGATGCGGCTTTTATTAGTGTCCTTTTTTTGATATGTTACTTTCCTATTTTAAAGAACAAGAACAGTATCTTGTCATACTTTAACCTTCTCAATTGTTGACAAAACTTACCACAAAATTATTGTAAGTGTTTCTCAATTACTTAAATAATTTAATATTAATTTTT